CTTGGGTGAGGAGCTGAATGTCATTCTCGCAGGTGGAACTGCGGGGCTTGGAGGGCCCACAAAGGATTCCAGGCGCTGTTCACGTGAAACTGCATGGGTTGTCGGACACCCTCAGAACTACAGGTTGGGTCAGGATTGAAAAGTAGATACTTTAGTGTTAACATGTGTTAACATAGAAACGTTTAATATGCGCATCCTAGGGGGAAGGAACGCCAAAGGGTCTAAGAGTCATAGTGTTCATAGTTACATTACTGGAGTGGTGTTAATCCTTTTCCAGAACAGCCCACCTCGCAGGCCATCCGGTCAGCAAGCCAGGTCTTTGCAAAGTGGTTTTGAAAGAGGAAGCTTTTATATTAGCACAATGAAGACCCAGTGAGCCCGCAAGTGACGTCATCATTGGTACACGCTTCTACCTCATGTCCTCCGATGTTCTCCGTTTTCCAGTATTTATATAAGCACAAAGCTTAACTAGCTACAGAAGTTCAGGAATTGATACACTGTATGCCTGTATGTGCTTTCTCTCTTTTTAGGGGGAGGTAGGCCGTGAGAGTAGGCTTAAGTAAGCTAGGTAAGCAAAGGGAAAGTAGCTTCTCAGCGATCCAGAAGCTACTAGCTACTGCACGCTGGAAAGCCCTGGCACTATTCATTTGCGTCCTAGATTTGAGGGGAAACTTGCCTATCTAAAGGCAGCAGGTTGCCCAGCATGCCAGAGGAGCTTGCTGTGGATCTTTTTCATTGGGCCTGCCAGGTCGCGACAAGTACTATACCTGAGTGAAAATAAGTGAATGGATGCAGTTGTTCCTCTCTATTTTGAACTCCTGAGAGATTGCACTGTGGCAAACAGGCTGTCACCGGCGGATGTGTCTCGAGCATCAAGCATCAACGTTTAATGCAACGAAAACAGTTGTCTTAGCCACACCAAACCCATAGGGTTTCCCAGCATTGTTTTCACAAGCTATCTGCTTAAGTGCTGCCTGCGTGGCGACTGCCGACAGAAGCATCACACTCGCGTCTTCAAACGCCTTCCCTGGAGTCGGTTTGTTGTCAGTATATACTGTATATATATATATAAGACTTGCAAGTTGATGTCCCTGATGAAGTGCCCGGCTTTCAGAAGAAAGCACAATCTAGTCCAGTTTCTAGAATAGGTGGCAGAAAGTGCAAAAGGTGGTTTGTGTGGATCCTCTCCAAAATCATTTATCTTTTGTATTGTGCTATCTTAAATATTTATGCATGGTGTTTGAAGGGAAACATAGACACCAACCGCGACGAATGGGTCCAAAGCTTCATTGGAGAGTGCTCTGGAACAGGGAGTGCGAGTGTGTGGGGTTTTCAGATACAGATGACGGACCATCTGAGCCGCAGTTCAGAACAGCAACCGAGGGTCTCAGATGCTGTCCCAACGCCTCGGTCACTGCGAAAAGTGGAGAAACCTAGGCACAGGACATTCGGTCGCCATTGGAAGTGCGCACCGAGTCAATCTGACGCAATCTGAGATACAGATCCATCAGATGTACTGCTTTACAGTACGCGACACCCCTTGGCTGGATATCACCTTCCGTGGCCAAATCTCTCGATTTGTTTTTCGGTTTTGAAGTGATTGCAGCGACTGGTTACTGATGTGCTTGTTTGTAGTTGCAAGAATGTTCGTGTACCTTCAAGACCAACTTGGCAAGCTTTTGCTGTTTTTGCTGACGTCTTTTGCTTTCTTTTTGCTGACCACGGCAGTATTTTCCGACCCACGGACTTTCCAAAGTCTTCAATACATCGCTCTGTCTTTCCGAACTCATTGGTGGGCCCACAGCCAAGCACATTGATGCCATTGGTCTTGTGGGAAGTCATACTGCTTGCGCCCAGGGTGAAAGGCACCAAAACCAAAGGTTCGATGCTCACCATGTGAACATGCTGAAGCAGGGGAGGGAACAAATTACACACTTGCCGACTCTATTAGGTTGGAGGCCATCGCTCTTAGGGTGGAGGCCATTTCTTCTAGGTTGGAGGCCATTCCTATTGGGTTGGAGGCCATTGCTACTAGAAGGAAGACCGATTACAGTATCCCAAGACTGACGACTCCTGCAGTTCACATCACCGGTTCTGCCCAATCACCTGTCGTATGAGCTGATCCGAACGATCCAAACAGATCTGGCGTCTGCTGCGAACACAGCGCAGAATTGAAGACTTTCTCAGCCATGTACAGCGCTGAACCGTTCCCGGTTGGTCCCTGGGATCCGCTCGGGTGTCGGGAGCTTCAGGAGAATCTGGGCAGAGCCACAGGGCGTTTGTAGATTGATCGATGGTCAGTTGGTGAGACTGGGATGAGACAAGGATTAACATGGAGGTTAGCGTAGGTCCTTGATTCTGAAAACGGTCTCAAAGATTCCCAAAGGTTGGATTGACCGGTGCTTGAGTGAGGTTGGATGTGTTGGGCCTCATTGATGGTTAGATGATGGTGGGTGGTTGTGTTGGATAGCTCTCGTAGCTTCGATGCTGCTGGTGTCTCTGCCCAGCTCCAAAAAGATGAAGCCAGGTGAACCTGTATCTTCGATCTCCCTATTATGCAAAGCCGACAGACCGTGTGCTGGCATAACGACAGCCACACAAAAAGGACGAGTGCACTCAGTATGATATGATGGGGCAGAGAGTATGTCTTTTGTCTTTGGTTGGCTCTATTGTTCAGAATCCTTGAAGAGAAGGAAAGAACAGGCAGGACCAACATGTTGCATTTTCCGCATGCTGCGTTCTTTGGTCACCAAGTATATGGCCACTGTGCTGAGGGGAAATCTATTCTGCTCAAGTCGGGGCATTCAGCACTTGGACTGAAATGGGTATGGCTTGAAGAATCATATTGGAATTGACACGCAGTGTTGGCTGAGTCCTGATTGTCATTCCTTCGGGTTATAAGGTGTACCCGATGTGCAGATTGAAGATGTGCAAACATGAGAGTGGAGGTTCAAGCAAATGCCCTGGAATGCACTGTATCTACTGCAGTTTGGGGCATCTATTCCGCAATATTTCGCAGTTCAATTCTTCACAAATGTCATGGGTCCAGCTGAAAATAGGCCTCTCAAGGTTTGTGGGGACAAAGCGGTGGAACTCCACTGAGTGTACAGTAACTAAAACTGCACCGAAGAAGGGAAGGGAAGGCATGCGTTTTCCCACTTCCCCCTTTGAAGGTGCAGCCGCGGCCGCGGTGGTGTGGGGTGAGTGTAGGCATGCGTGGTCTAATCTGCCTTCCTCCAAGGTGAATCGGGAGATGCCGCGGCAAGGACGGCTACGTCATATGTGACACAAGAAGTGCGGGTCAAAATAGAGCGACACCGCGTGGCGACAGTGCGCCGGCAAATGACAGTCCTTTGTATATGTCTGAAAGCGTTGGACATCCTGTTTTGGGGTATGTTTGTTTGAGACGTTAACATTGGTGGCTCTCATGCCAGGCTCCAAATGAATCAGAAGCCCCTCCCCCTGTACCCTGTACTTCACATCAACCTAGTCATGGATTTCATGGGTTTTGACACTCCTAGGTATTCCATGCTTCTCTTGGTAGGCCAATACTCATGACTCATGACCGCTTAAGGTTCTGAGAGGCTCAGAAACCCTAGATGGAGCGGGAGGCATTGTGCCGCATCTCTTCACAACTCATCGGTTCTCGCGGGAAGGATGACAGGTATACCACCAAAAGAGGGACTGAGATCAGTTGAGCTATCCTGTTAAGCGAAGCATGCTCCCGTTCAACAAAACACTATGACGATCTCCCTCAAATCGGATCATTAATGTATAATGTGTATATATATATATGTACATATATACATATATGTCTAGTGGATCTTGCGCTTCCTTCTATGGTGATAGCTTGATTGACTTGATTTGGTCACGGTGACGTGCAGGAAACTGATGGACCTCAATCTCTGCAACCTCCGCAACACATTTTTTACATGTACTGTATAGAACTGCTCTTTGGTTCGCCAGGTGCGAAGGAATCGTCAATTGGAGGCTCAATTAAGGCGAGGGAATCTCCGAGTCGGAGACTACGACGGGAACGGTGAGGAGGCGAAACAAAATGACGTAGCCACCCATTCGCTGAATGGTTTGATATTCTGTGTGGGTCCACTCTTTTGTTCCCTTGCTGAATATTCGGTGAAGCTACCTATCTACCAGGCTTCCGTGGTGATGTGATCGAAATCTCGCTAAGATCTGGCTTTGGCTATTAGAAACTTGCAGCGAAAGGCAAAGACATGCCTCAGGAGCGATGAGGAGATCATCCGCTCACGCTTGGAGGCCATTGCCAGCCAGCTCAAGGCGCCTTGGTGAGCGCCGCACGATGCGGTTTCCGCATTGCAGGGAGAGCCTCTTGCGTGAGTTCTTCATGGGACAGAAGGAATGGGTTTTTCGGTTCAGTGAGGCATCACGCGAGAAAGATGATATAGAGACATATAGTCAGGGATGTTGGGGTGTATCGAAGCATTTGATTCTTTGTGTGCAGCATTTCTGGTCACAAGGTTTGAGGCCTGGCCTTGCGCTTTGATTTAGGAATCTATCATCGGCCACGGGGGTTGGCTGCCAGGAGAAGTTGCAAGAACTTCAAGAAGCCAACAGCGATTTGGCTGCCTTGGAAGAGGACACTCTCGATCAGCACGCAAGACTTCTGGCCTCAAGCATGGCCAAACAGGCAATATCCTGCAAGAAACTATGGAAACTCGTTTTTTAGCTCCGATTTCAAACGAACATCCGTGCTCTTTGGCCCAGCGCAGCGACTCACTAAGATTGGGCACGTTTATTTGAAAAGAAAGCCCTGCCTCAACGCGAAGAACAACATGTCCTTTCAAAGGAGTCTTGCATGACTTGCGTTTTTTTTTCTCTCTCTCTCTCTCTCTCTCTCCCTCTCTTAATTTCCGACCCCTGCTGTTTTGTTGAATGCTGTTTTTCTTTTTTTCCGCTCATCTTGCAGCCCTTGGGACCAAACACTTGAGGGCCTCGCCGGTGTGTCGTGATCGAATTCGTCGATGGACGACGCTTCCGGTGAGCCGCGAAGATTGCGCAGCCCGGCAGAGCAGTGGAAGGAGCACGTTTCGGAGATCCTGTCGGAACCAATGGGTGGTTAGAAATCCATGCTCACCAACAGTCCAACAGGAAGCAATAAGGATATTCTACCGTTTCAGCATTAGAATGCAACTAATCTATGAAGTAGTAATAGTAATGTATGGTCCAGAGTCCAGAGGTGGTGTTTTCCAATTGTTGCTTCTACAAAAAGGCTTGCTAAACTCTCGTATGGGGTGGCTTTGCGCAAACCTGTATCCATTGAGGCAAGCGGCCCTTCGCTTGGGCGAGCGACTCTAGCGGGCACAGTGAGGAGCGAAGCAGCAGCAGCTCTGAACAGGAGCAGGTGCGGAAGGAAAGCTGCGAATGGGAAGGGCAAGCCACGGGGTTGTGAGCTTTTGTTTGAATCCAGGTGTAAAGGGTTGAGAAGGCAGTGTTACTTCTGCCATTCGCTGACTTGCTTTGAGGCAGATGACACATGTGACAGATGGGAAGATCAGCAAACCGTGGAGATCCACACCCAGGACGGACGGGTTTGGGTGGCATTCTGCGATAGGTTGATTATCCTGTACCCTTTCCTGCATCATACTACCGATAGTACGCTCTGTTTAGTCTCCCGCTTCACAATCAGAAAGTGATGGGGCTCAAAGTCAATCAGTCGGTCACTGGGAAAATGTCTTGGGGCGGAAATTGGAGGAGCCAATGCACTTGTTACTAGTAGCGATGCTCCTTGCTACTAGTAGCGATGCCCTTGTTACTACCTTCCCATGGTCACTTGAGCCAAACGCACCCACTGCCGGACTCCAACGCTTAACTCCGGTCTCACGTGTCTGGAAGGTCTCTGAAGCGGTGGAGTATTTCCAGCTGCGGGAACAGTCCATGAACGCTGCCCGGCCCCAAGTGGAAGCGAACTCGGCAGGTGAGATGGATGAAACAACCTTGTTGCAGCTGGAGGGACATCGTGTTATGACAATTTGCCACAATTTGCCTATACATATACTGTGATAGAGGCAGCTTGCAGCTTTTATCACAATTTTGCATTCCGTATCTGACATAGAGCGGTCCCAACGATAATTCGCTTCCTCCACCATCTCACACCAGCTCTCACCTCTCCTCATTGCGAGCGAAATTATCGCAAGCTGCCTCACAGGTTGTTTTGTTTCTGGGCTAATGTTGGCACAAAAGCCCTCCACACTGTAGCGAACCCAACAACCCGAAGAACCCTGTCACTTGAGAGCATGTCAGAATTACATAGAATTACCATAGATGACTTATGTCGCAACTAACTTTGACAGCAAAAATCGACATGCTTGGGTGTCCCTCAAACTCGTCCTTCTCCAAGAGAGTGGCATGTCTATCTCCAGATCCTCCACCAAGGACCATGGTGCGCCCACAAAGATGGGTGCCGGCCCCCGCGGCGAGCGCGTGGTGGTGAGGCGGCAGGAGCGGTTGCAGGCACTCCGAGGCCTGGAAAATGCCAGGCAAATGTCTGCTGTGTCAGACCTCGCTGACAGGGTGTGGTGCCCTCATTGTGAGATTATTTTTTTGCCCATCCCTTGGATTGGTGTTTCATACTCGTACATGTTTCTTGTGGCCCTGTGAGATACAGTTGACTCACATGTTAAAAGGCAGAGACGTACGCTCTTTGATAGGAACATGAGTCGCGACGGTCCAATCAGTTCAACACGTGGACTTGGCCCCGCACGCTCAGGGCGACGGCCCTTGATGCTGCGCGAGATTGCGAAGCAGTTGAGGGGTCGCGGCTTTGTGCCATGGAACAAAGCGTTGAAGGGTTTGGGAGGCCATTCCTATTAGGTTGGAGGCCATCGCTCTTAGGTTGGAGGCGATCGCCCGTTTCACACCCAAAGCCAAACATCCACAAACGACTCAAGAATCCCTCTCGCATGCGAGTGTTTGGTTACTGATATAGGTGATCTTTGTTATGAATTTATCTTTTCATCTTTTCTCATCACACGAGATTTTTCCTGTTTGCATCAGCTTTCTTCAAGACAGAGCTCTCCTTCGACACAATTTGAGTGGACTTGCTGGTTTTTTTGTGGGGCTTGTTTGTCCTTTTTGTCTTCAGGTGCGCTTGGTGGACTTTTTGGGCCCTTCAGTTGGGTCAAATCTGCTGGAGGGCTTTGCCCAACTGTCCTGGCAGCCTGGGCGTTTGGGGGATGCCCAATCCAGCGATCAGAGCAGGTGCAGAAATCCGACGGTCTGATGAGGAGGGTGGGGTTGTTTCCTTTGTTGGATCGACTTTGGGGTAGGTTCCCCAAGAGTTTCCGGCATTTGATTGATGATTTTGGGATGAGAATAACAATGGATGTCCCTGTTGTTTACCCATGATGGTTAGGTTTCCCTGTTTTCCTGGGTTGTTGTTTAAGTGAACTCATCAGTGCTGTTTAAGTATGCAAATGTTCTTCAGACATGGCCGTGGGTCATGAGACCGTGGAGGGACTACCCCAGTAGTGAAATCATTCAACATAGCTTGCAAATGAGTGTTCATTATGCGTTTTTGTCAAAGACTCAGGAATGCCAGAAACCACCTGACAAAACTCTGAAAGATGGGTAACTGGCCAGGTGATCCATTTTGCTCTTTCCAGGTGAATTGCCAGTTAGTTGAAATGTGCATTGAGCGAATGAGCCTGTAAGTGTTCATCTTTAGGATCTGCTTGTTAGGGCTCAAGATCTACTAGCTGTGCCTAGATTGCTTGTAAGCCCCAGAGCGTAGTCACGCTCGATCCTTTGCCCTTCGCGCCATAGCGAGTGGCTTTGCTTTGCTGGAATCTGGCGGCCAGATCGCCAACTTGGCATCGGCGCTTGAGAGCACATCGTGCTACGGCGCGGGCTTTCATCAAGCGCCACCAGCACAAACAAGTGCTGAGTTCTAAGGTGTGTGCCAAGCTTCAAAGGCTTTTGGCACTACTGTCCAGACACCACTCAAAGCCAACATACAGCCTTAGGTATCAGCCAGTTTCTGAAATGACATGGCGTGGTCAACAGAACTGGAACCAAAAGGCCCAGGATTGGAAGAATGCCTGGCCTGTCGACAAGAAGAATCAAGACAAGCAGAAGAAGGCCAAGGAGAACCAGAAGGAGAAGGACAAGACCGAAAGGCCGACCTTTTTCCTCAGCCACGATGGAAGAAAAGTTCCATTAGGATCTGGTGGTGGGTCTTCATCGGGAGCTTCGGCATCTACCTCAGCGCGAGCTGTTCAGGAAGAGAATCGCCGGCTCAAGGAAGCGCTGAAGATGATCTCCGAGAAGCGGACAGTCGACAATGGGATCTTGGAGGATTGCCAGAAGCTCATCCAGAATCCTCGCGAGCAACTCCGAGAGAGACAGCGCGAGCTCAACAAGGAGAAGAAGACGTTGACCCGGCAAGAAAAACTGGAGGCAACGATCCAAGAGACAGACGAGAGCTACAAGAGTTGGCGTGCTGGCATGGAGGAAGGCCTGAGACAAGAAGATGCTCGACATGCGGCGGAGCTCGAGAAGCTGCAGCAGGAGCTCAAAGACCTCCACGAGGCCAAAGATCCAGATGCCATGAAGGACAACATGGACGACGAGAAGCCTTTGCAAGAGGGGTCAATGGCTCAGGAGCTCCAAGAAGTCCGGGAGAGTATGAGGGAGGTGGCTTACCATGTGGAGACTCTAGAACAGAGGAACCAAGAAATGGTGATGCAGATGAACTCTCAAGTGCAAGCTTTGGTGTCTGCCATCAAGGGCAGCAAGCCGATCGAGCTTTTCAACGAGGGGTCGCCACAGCTCATCAAGAGGCCTCAGGTCATTATGTCTCCGAGGACCAATTCGCACGATCGCTCGAGATCCCCAGTCAAGAGGTCAGCAGAAGTGGCAGAGCTAAAGGACGTTGGGGAGATCCATGCAATGGTACGTCCTCTTCTCAAGCAGATCCCGGAAGAGCACCATCACAAGATTATGGCCATTCTGGAGTCAGAGGGCGACAAGTACCAGACTCTGGAGGCTGTCGAAATCTTGATCCAGCAGGTCATGGTGCAACTTGGGCTGCATCCGGGACAGTCGAGCCTGGATTCATTAGACTCTCCAAGCGATGCTGTAGTGCTACCAACAAGTCGAGGTGTTCTGCAGCCTTTCGGGGGTCCCAAGTCTCTCAGGAAGTCAGAAGCCATGCCTGCCCGACTCAAGGAAGGCGACCCCGAAGGGGGCAGGTGAATGTGTCAGTAGAGATGCTAATGGTAGGAGTGGAACCAATCCATTTGAAGGTTGAGACGCCCTCGCAAGACAGTTTTGAAGGTTCAGATGAGTTTTGTCCTGGACGTGCAAAGTTTTCTTTGAGCGGTTGGTTTTGCGCTTTGTTTCAACCATCTAGCAGCATGCCACCCTACTCGTCCTGGACATGGAATCGGGTTTCCCGTATCATCGAGAGTGCATTTTGCGTTGAGCAAGAAAGTTGGGAAGGGGCTTGTGCTTTTCGAGATGCTGGATGTATCGATTGGTGCCCTGAGTCCTCATGGTTTGGCGCTATGTGGAACAGGTCTTCCTTGGCACCTTTCTTTCCCAGCAGATCTATGCTTGCCTGCCTGATGTATAGTTTTATGTGGCTTGTATCCTTCGGTTTTGTGCTCCACTGTCACGAGGGCTTCCAACAGGAGCTTGATGCGGGATGGAGGGCATGTAGATTGATTCAAGTCCCAACAAGAGGAACGAGCAGTGCCTTGGGGATGGCACAGATGGCTGCTGGGATTGCCTTGCTAGGTATTCTTGAGCAGCCAATCCATGGTTATCAAGGAGATATGAACCTTGCAGATCCGAATGCGTCTATTATGTGGGTTGATTGCATTCTCTTGTTTGCTTGCCAGAGTACGGCTTGAGGAAAAGCTGAAATTGCCAGCTTGCGCAAAGAAATGTGCGCGCGTCCGATATGGACGCTTGCGGCAACGCAAAACAAAAGTCAGATTTGCTGCAATTTTTCTGCTCCTTAACCTTTGCTGTGCTGAAGCAGTGGCAGTCGAGCGAGCGCTTTGGGCCCTACCAGAGGCCAATGAAAGCGCTACCGATGATGCAGGTGATCTCCCTCCTTTCTCGCCTTACGAGGAGGGATATCGACGTGAAGGCGATATCAGCCGATCAGAAGGCTTTGGAGGTGGCCTGCAAGAACTGGGCAATTTTGACAGTCAGGGCGAACATGTTCCTGCTGAATGTGATGACAACCATCAAAGCCCAGGTTGTTTGCGCCATCGCCAAGCTCCCGTTCCTCCATGGAGGAATGGTCGAGCTAATTCGAGTCGGCCACGTTTTGAGGCAGTTCTTGACGAGACTGCTGTGAGTGGGGATTGCCTGATGCTGAATACTACTCGATTCCAAGGTGGACAAAAGAGGGAGAGAGCCTCTCTTTGCTGTGATGCGTATGGAGACAACACTGCAACTCCGGATGACTGTTGTACAGTATCTCCTGAGGCGAATGAATCGTTCTGGATTTCAACAGCAGTACAGTGGCCATGGCCCACTTTCAGGTCCTGGTGTCACCATTTGTCTGGCAGAGGGATAGGGCTCATTCCCACAGGTCCGCTGGAAAAAGGAGAGAACACTGCAACTCCTTGCGGAGAACAGTTGTTATATGAAGATGAATACAAGCAAGATATCAGGAGCTGTCATTCTGCTGGAGAAGCTGAAGATTCTGTCTCATCCATGCAGGGACTGTCTCCTTTTGAACCACGACAGCCATTTGCAGTTGCAAGCGAAAGGGGTCGACCACTTCTTGAAGTGCTGAGACTTGCTCGGAGAACATTTACAGAAGTTCGGATGACCCAGGGACGTGATGTTGCCTACATGAGTGGGGATTATCCTCTTGTGACTGCTATTCGATCCTATGGTGGACCAAAGAGAGACCTTTTCCCTTTTTGCTGCTATGGAGATAACACTGCAACTCCGGGAAACTGTTGTATCATGTATGCTGAGGCGGGTACACTGATATGTTTCCCAGCAACAGTTCCATGGCTTCCGCCAACACCTAGTGTCAGACATCATCCATTGGTGGACAGCGGCAAGCGGAGATTAGCAGCAAATATACTGGAGAAAGGAGAAAGCACTGCAACTCCTGATGAGAGACAGAAGAACAAGTTCCTTCTGAGTATTAAGAAGGATTCGCAGTTTCTTTCTGACGGCAACCACAAAGCAGATGCTGAGAACCACCATCCCGACAGAGAAGATCGTGACTCCGCTTCGCCTGCAGGGTCTGTCCCCCTTGGAACCCCGACAGCCATTTGCAGTTGCAAGTGAGAGAGGCCGACCTCTTCTGGACGTTCTGATGCTAGCTCGAAGAACATTTACAGAAGTTTGGATGTCCCACAAACGTGATGTTGCCTACATACGCTTTCGACCTATTGAACCCGGTCTCTGGGAGAAGAAGGTCTTAGGATGGAAGTTCTTGGCATATGACCAGCCCTTTGGAATCCCCTTTTGTGTTCATCTGCGTAGAACAGGTTTATGGGCCTCTCAGCTTATCAGCCCGTTCGAAGATGAGGGTTTTCTTGAGATCCGTTTTATCACGGTCACACCTCAGCCCCTCATGCTTTGTGTTGCTGGCAGCTGTAAGACATTGCATGACACAGCGGTGTTGGCTGTGGTACAGGATGTCTATAGTTCTGACAGACTGCTCTTGGTGGTGGAACATGCAATTCAAGGCACGCTTGAAGTGGGGTCGCTTCAATGTCCGATAGCATGCACTCCAACCACGATTTGTCTTGAGCTGGGCTTTGAAGAACGATGCCATGGGACATGTACAGCACAAATTTATTTCCGACTGGAACAGACTGAACGAATCTTTACCGATGAAGAACGAATTGGAATGCCTGCGGGCCCTTTTGTCCGTTTCAGCCTGCGTTGTTTGGATGTTTGTGCTGATGATCTTCCACCTCAACGACCGGTCAGAGAACATGAAACGCTGATTGTAGCGCACGGTCATCCGGAGCAGAATTTGCCAGAATTAGCACCGACTGCATTTACTGATGATTCACTCTCGATGATGCAGCTCGGATGGCTGACTGATATGGCTGCTGATGAATCAGAGTATCTGGAGGAAGCGAGGGCGCTGGTGGACCGTGGAGATGCTGGTTTCACGTGGCCATACCCAGAGATGATCAAAATCGACTCTGTGACAGGGGTCCCTGACCATCTGCGTCCATTTTTGGCGGCAACGTACAGTTTCAAGTCCCTCA